CCCGCACCACAAAATAAGGGAAAACGGGGCCAGAAGGACCTTAAAAGCTCATCACCAAGACCATCTCCCTGCCCCAAGGCAGGATCAGCTACATGCGGCTCATCACCTTTTAAGCACAGAAGAAACTCATCGAGATTTAAATACCTAAATGCAATTCTCACATCAAAGGCCCTCTTCGCTTTGTTACTCGGTTCCAAGAGAAACTGCAGCGCTGGGTGAGCTGCTGCAGCAGCGAGTCTCCGCTGACCCACAGCAATAGCTGCTGCTGGTGTTACTAATTAGCAGGAGTAATTATGAGGCTGCTTTTCTGTGTTTATTTACTTGGTCCTAAATACAAGCATGAAGAAACTCTGGTCACTTTACTAGGCTGCTATGGCATTGCCACAAACGTTAAAAATGATCCCACAAACCACTTCATTTAGGGTTTCAGGAGACCAAACAGGCTGAAGGGGGCCTGCCTTCTTCAGGTGATGAAGTTTCAGTCCTTGCTTTCATGGCAAGGGTTTTACTGTGCAAACATCCTCGGTTTTGAATACATTTGCTTAGAAGCTGTGTTGAGGAGCAAACAGGTAAGAAGGTCCTCCCTAACCTGACCTCTCTCAAAGTAGACACTGAAGATGTCTTGACCAGAGCAAAGGGGACGAACAGGACATTCCAGGCACAAAGCTGCCACCACGGTTCTCCAGCTGTTGCAAACCTCAGAACAGGCTGGACCAGTCCTAATTATCACCATGTATCGCCATACAAGAACAGTAGCAGGAGATTGGGGCCATTCTAAGGGAAGCTCTGCACCAAACCCCCCCCCCCCAAAAAAAAAAATCACAAACCAAAAAAACCACCAAAACCCAAAGAGCAATCAGGAGAGCACCCACCCTTTGAAAGGGCTAAAAATCAACGAAGAAAGATGCAGGGAGGTAAAGGGACTGCCCTGATATCATGCAATAGCTAAATAACAGAGCAAGGACTTGAAGCACGGGATCTCAAAGCCCAGCTCAGCCTTTTTCTAACAGACTAATGCTATATACAAGTGACAGTCTCTTGGAGAATTCCCTCACCAGCCTGGAAGTATTTCCCCTCATAATATAAAATTATTTGCCATCTGGTTCCCCAATTGGCCACAACATAATCCAGCCTTGCCCTGGGCTGTCAAGGAGTTTGGAGAGCCCTTGGCTTGACACAAACCCATATAGCAATACGTGTCACTCAGGAGCTCAGGACCGTGACTTTTCCCACTCAGTTCATGCAATGTTTTGATTTTATAACCATCCTTCAGCCCCAAGGCCAGCGGATGGGGGTCTCTGTTTCAGCATTGCTTTAACAGCAAGGTCAGATTTCAAAAATAGATTGGGAAAAATGGCTGTGAGAAGATTCATTTTCAACACCTGCAATTGCCGGGCTAATTTAAGCAGAGACTTCAGCAAGCAGGCGGAGGGGACCCTGGGAGCCAGGGCAGCGACTGCTCTCATGGCCCCGCGTTGAAGATGAAGATGGAAGGTTTTCCTAGATCCATCCCAAGTGGGAACGAGGTCACTAGCACGAGGTTAAGTAGATGGATGTAATTCAGATAATGGAATCCAAGTCTTCTACATTTCAGATGCAAATAAGTTTAAGCAGACTAGTGGGTGCAGCTCCAGGGAGGGGACGAAACTGGTATTTTTCAATTAGAGTTTGCACAGGGACCAATCATTTTAACTAGCGAGACAGATTCAGCCTCTCGTGTTGCTCTCCAAAAGGCCACCGGCTTATCTCAACACTGCATTTGGTCCAGCAGATTCAGGTGGTGGCTTTTGTCATACTGACAAACCTCAGAATAATAAAAGGTTGTAGCAGATGTCCAAACCTGGTGGCAATTACTGCAGAGCAGGAATAGGTCGCTATCTCAGCAGCTAGTAAAGACCAACTCCTGCCTTCAGTGCCCAGGGGCAGAATTTAGCCCCCAGTTCCGACAGGAGCTCAAGTCTTTTTGCTGCACAGCTGTAGACTTATGAATGTGATAAAAATCACAAGCTCGGTCATGAATAGAGCAGTGAACCCTCATTAGACACAGCAACAACACTAGAATTACTGTCACAGAGATACAAGTCTGAAATCCTGATGAAAACACAGATCAAGAATGACGATAGTCAGATGAGCATTAACTGTGCTAAGCAAATCTTTAGACTGTAAACTCAGATTAAAAAGAAAGTAAGCAACACAGAGGAACCATCATCTTTAACTCTCTAGAGCCAGAGCAAGACATGAAAAGTGACATGGATTGTTCACAGCACATATAACCTTCAGAGGTTAAAGACTAACGAAAACATTGCACATGGAGATTTGAGAATCTTTGAGGAAGTACTAACACACCTCTTCCCTCAAACCAACCCCTGTAAAAATTTGTATTAACCAAAGACGCCCCCATATACACACACTATGATTGAATAGCCTCAAGACAGCCACAATATTGAATGTAATTACCCATGGTTACAGAAAGGTGATTAAAAAAAGCTGAGAGAAAGAAGGGTGCAATTAGACAGAGGGAAAGGAAGCATCCAAATGCGTACGACACAGTGTTCAAACCGAGGGAGGCAATTAGCTGGGTGTGGATGCAGCACAAGTGAAGAAAGCGATGCCACCATCCGTGCCCAGCACTGTCATGACGTCCCACAAGAGATCCCGCACCCCCGCGATGTGTCCCGACAGCCAGAGGATGCAAAGGCAGGTCCCCTGCAGTGCGGAAAGCTTAGCAGCTTTTCAGCGTTGAAGGCTTCTTTGGGAACAGAGGGTGCACAGAGGTGGCCTGAGCTCCTGGGACAGGCTGGGGAGGGGAGGGGTTGGTGGCCACAACCTGTTCCACGACACAAGTTGAGCAGCACGGGAGGAAGTAGGTCAGGCGATTCAACAACTCGCCCTGTTGGCATGGCTGTGCTGGGTAATTATACCACGGAGACAAACGATGGCAGCAAGTGAATAACCCTCCAACTTTAGAGTGCCTGTACCAATTGCCGGCATTCACACCTACGTCTCAATCCCGGTGGTGTCACCTGCTGTTCACGCTGCCCTGCGACACACCGGACACCCCATCCCCATCCCATTCCCTTCTGCATCAGAAGTTCCAAACTTTGCTGAGCATCTCAGCTGGGACCAATTTCCCAAAGACAGAAACACAGGGCTGAGAAAAAGCATAGCAAAGCAAGTGTCTGCCTGCAGCACA